AACGTGGTATCAGACAAAGTCTCTCGGCAAATCACTCCTTTCAGTAGTACATCATTTGTAGAGCTCACAGCATCTAGGGATGCTTTTGTTCAATATATTTCCTCCTCTAACTGCTCATCACATATTTTTTTTCCAGACCAGTTTAATTTGTGATAAAAGTGAATTTATTTCTTGAAAGATTACAAAAGGTGCCCTGTATATTGAACTAAACAAATGACATAGGACACTGCTGGAAAATCAACCACCTAAAGCACGCATGGTAATTTGGCATACTGCCAGGGCTTAATTTGTTTAATCTAACCATTTTTGGTTTCAACTGAGCGATATTTATTAGAATCTGGGCATAGTTATATGTTACCTTTTTTCCGGCTTTAGGCAAATGCCAGAATGATAAGCTTAAGAAATTGATAATGAAGCATATTGTCAGCGATGCTTTGATTATGCTCACATTTCCCTGCATTTAGCCCTGAGTTGTTATTAGCTTCCACTAAAGCTGCTTTGCTAAGATTCCTCTTGCAGAACTTCAGAGAGAGATATGCTCTTGAGTGCGTGTCTAGGGTGAAATAATTATGACTATTATATAAACATCAAGTCTGATTTCTAGTGAATCGGCATCCTTAACAGAGGGTAAAAACCAAAACTAAATTGGTAGCCATCTCTTTTGGAAGATAGATTCCATTTCATATGATTGTCATCATTTTATAGGATTTCCAATAATTGGTTATTTTTTTTTGAGCAAATAGTTATGGTGTCCTGGAGCAGTGTGCTGGTAATTGCTTAACAACTGGTTCTCTAGGACCAGAATCCCTGATTTGTAGTATTTGCCAAATTGTGTAGTATAAATAGTCCCACTGTGGCCTGTTTCAAACTACCACCATGATATTACTGAACATTGAGTCAGGAAGAGAAGATCACCTTTGCAAATCATTATGTAGTATGCCTAAGGCACAGGCAGGTGGGCAGAAATAACCATCAAATCATGGGTCATACAGATTAGTCAAACAAATAGATAATGTATAATAAAATAATTAGGAAGCAATGTTTTGAGTATCCATTACCTTTGTTTTTAATATAACCTCTTCAACTGTAGTTTTAATTCTCAATAAAGCCAACTCCAACACAACACTTGGATTGACTATCTTGACACAGTAGTTACTGATTTGGAAGAAAAACACCACAAATCATAATGCTTTCTCTCTATTCAAGTCTTATATAAAATGCCATACTTAGTTGAAGAAGCTGATACATTTTATAATGTAATGTCTGGACTTTCTGGTATATGTCCTAAGCCGTTGTGGCTCATTTTAGTACTTTTTGCCATTTGGATAGAAAGGATGTTCTCACACACTGCAGAACTGAATCGACCGAACAGACCTAATTATGTGCATCAAAGAGTTGTTTTGGTAGAGCTTACACACACACACACACAAACCAAGGCAATATTTACAAGAAAAAGTAATTACAAGAGAACTAGATGAACCGTTTCATCTAAATGTGAGTTGAGTTCAATAACGTATTTTAAATGATGATATTCCCTTGTTTCACAGCACATCTCCAGCCTCTCTCTGGAATTGGGTCACGAACTAGGTCCAACAGACTCAGGATTCCGTTCTTCTCTGCGTTGGTTTTTTATTCCTAAACCTGTCTGGTAACTAATCTAAAATCAATCCTCTCATTGGATAATATTAAGAGGAAAATATATTTTGAAGCCAAAAGAATATAGTAAAATAATTATGAAGCAATGATTTTTGAGTATCCATTGTGAAACACTGGGAAGTGTCGTTCTCTGGGTGCAATGTTTGCCCCAACATAATCTCATAAGTAGATTTGCTGATATATTTTCTAAATGTAAATGTAGATAGAAAAATATGACTGAGTCTGTCCTTGTACAAGGGATATTTTAAGACAATTTTTTTTTGACATAAAACTTTCATAAAGTTCAAAGTGGTTTTCCAAAAGAAGTTCTGGGATATCTCAGCAGAGGAGCAATATTGTGGTTGAGCTAAAGCACATATTTCTGATAAAATACACCTTGGAAGTATACACAGATATAAGCTGCCTTTAAGAAATGAACATGACTACATTAATGATAAATAAAAACCAATGTGAACTTGTACTGCAGTACCCTAACTCTTTGAAGCATCTATATTAGGACTCATTATAAAAGAAAAAAGTTTAGAAATGCCTCCTCTAAACTCTACAGTTGGCTTTCAAGCTGATTAATTCCTTTTGTTATTTGAATAAAAAGGTTTCGCTTAAAAAATACAAACAGAAATTATTGTTTATAAGATTATTTACATGAGAAGTCCCTTTACCTATTTTAGAACTCAGACTACTGTTTAACAGCCTGAAGGAAGCTTCAAGAGCCCTGATATCACAAGCTCTTTACTTCAGTCCAGTGGGGAAATGATTACGCTAGTTCCAAGATCTACCCTTGTGAATGGACTTGAACAATTAGTCATTTCATCAATGAAATGTAGAGGGAATACCAAAGTGGAATACCAATCAGATCACTTTGTCCACGAACTGATCCTGAGTACACAGGATGCTGTGAACCCTTTGGCAACTTCCTCGAGCATAGTGCTCCCAGTTCACGTAAGTACAATGATGAGCTGATAAACATTTCTAGTGTGAAAATTCCCAAAATGTTATCTAAAATTTACAATAATTTAATGAATTAAATGTGGAGGTTTGTTTGTGATCCTCATTTCAAAAGCATCTCATGCCAGGAGCACTCACATTTGCTGTGATATCCATGGATGGTGGACCTAGCTCAAAGATGTCTATGTAATTAGCCTCTGGCATTTCCAGGGAGATTAATGCTCTGCATCGCATGCTCTTCAGATGAAAAGTATAAAATAATGAATTTGTTAAGTGGTGACAAAACAGGTTTCGTATTTGACAGACGGTTTACTACTAACTTCAATTCCAGCGATATTATCCCAAGTTCTTTTTTACTGAGTCGTGTTCTCCCTTGAAGTTCAAGAACAGGCAGCATGGTAATTTGAAGGAGAAACAAGCCCCAGGCAAGGAGGTGAAGGAGACGATTCTGATCATGGTTCTGCATTTATCTAACTTAGGGGTTGGGAGCATATCAGCTTGACACATTAATTTATCCATTTTAATGGTGTTAGACAAGATGACCTTTAAGGCACCTTCAGACTTTCTGAGAATTTATGGATTGTAAGTAATGAAAACTGTGAAATTCAGTTTAACAGAAAAATAAGTGTTATAGTTTATCACTAAGAGCCCAAGTGGGATGGGCTGCCGACCCAAAGGTGGGGTTTGAACCCATCCAGTGGCCCCACATGATTTTTAAAAACTGGCAACTTGCTGTCAGAAAGATGATAGGTAAGAGAACGTTTAGGGCAGCTCTGCTTTGTAACACACGGGACAGCCAGGAGTGAAGGGCCAATTCCACTGAATGTATGATAGCATTCGATCAATCCTTATGACTATATATGACATGTGTTATACGTTATGTACGTATCCTACCCTCTCCTCAGAAGGAGGCCTGGTGGCTTGGGAATTGAACTCTGAGATGCTAATCAAAAGGAAGTTCCAGCCCACTAGTCACTTCAAGGGGAAATGATGTGGCAGTCTAAAACCTTGGAAACACATGGGGGCAGATACATACTGCGCAACAATTGAAATCAGCTTTAGGGTAAAGGGTTAGATTTGGAGTTTAACCTGTGTCAGGCAGTGCCTGTGCATACCGTTTATACTCTATACCAAACTGACTGCTAGAAATCAAATCAAAGGCTTTGTTTTCCTGACTTTCATGCAGCTAAGATACATGAAGATCAGGCTGATAAAACTTTTCATTTTGAGCATCAATATACTCATGATTTATTATGTCTTTGCAGTTTTAGTTCCTTGCAGCGTTTTGCCTGTTACACTGTTAAACTTGCTATGCAGCCACTTCCACAGCTGGACCACATGTATATCGTTTTGAAAAGACACAAGGGTCGGGGGACAATTGACGGCTATACTAAAGAAAGGACAGTTGCAACTTGTCTGGATGGTAAAGAAAGGTACAGGCATATCTTTAAACTGCTTCAGCAATCAGGATTATGAGTTAAATGACCTATTTCCCGTTGAGTTGAATCTGACTCATAACTAATCTTTAGGACAAAACAGAACTGCCTCGTAGGGGTTCTAAGGCTATAATCTTTTCTTTCATTTAATCATTTTACTGGGGGGCTCTTACAAATATTAGAACAATCCATCATTCAATCGTTTTTACATATGTTCCCATCAACATAAGGCTATAATCTTGACCAGAGCAGATTTTCCCCTGTCTCTCAATGACTGGGTGAGTTCCACCCACCCACCCACCCACACACCTTTTGGTTAGCAGCCTAATGCTCAACCACTACACCATCAGGACTCCTTGTGTTAACTCCTCCTGATTTCAATTCACTAGAAAAATATTTAAAACTCCACCAGATTGATTCCAAGGTAATCCGCCAGAAGGCTGTGAACTAGTATCTCATAAGCACTCCCTCCCTTTTCATTGTTTGCAGTGAAAGCAGCACTCTCCGGAGCAAGTCTGGGTCTTCAGTGCAGTGCTTCGTGACTGACATGTGTGCGTCCTTCATGAACTGACCACATGGACCAGGGGCCACTATAGACACTTAGAACTCGAACTGGCAATATTATTCAACATTTTTCTAATGGATTTCTTTCAAAAAACCATGTGAATGATACTTGACGGGGGTGAAACATCCTTGAATACCATGACATTACAGAAATAAAACCACGAAGGTGGAGAGATTATCCACCAGCAACCTCGTTGTGTTCCTGTTTATTTGCATGGTGTTAACTCAGGTGTCAGCTTTTCCATAGGTGCCCTCGGGAGGTCTGTAGTGCTTGGGGAGAACCATCAGCTGTAGCTTGTTGAAGGCATACTTTCTGCATTGGATGTTCTTCAGAACATTCTCTATGCGGCAGCCTTCTCTGGTGGAAAGGGAGAAAGCACAGCCTCATGAAACACAGAATAAAGAAATATGCTTTATTTGTTCAATGCAGAGTTGCAGCAACAGTCCAAGTAAAAATAACAAAGATTCAACTCTACATTTTTTTTTCCCCCACAAGTGATGATACATCTTACAAAATTAAATCCTAGGCCAGGCTCAATACCATTATTGCCCTCGGAAAGAGATGATTAATGTCTCTTTGCTAACAGATACTTAAGGTTTAATAAACTCTTTTAATATAGTTTGCTTCACAATACAGCTTTGCTTAAGTTTCATAAATATATCTGCCTTTTATAGCTTTTCCACAAATTAATTTCTCACGTTTCTTTAAAACACATTAAAATCTATATGCAGCCCTAAGGATGCAGGTTTTAGGAATAAGGCATTTAATTTATTAAGTCTGGCCCTATAGATTTTTAAAGGAAAGTTTCATCTCTATTTTACTTCATTATTTTAGCTGTGCAATGAAGAGAGAAAATGGCTTTCTGAACAGCCTAGTTCAGGTCTCAGCTTTATAAAGGGAGAGGGCTTGTACAGACAGTACAAAGTGACAGGTGCCAAACATGGTGCATCAAGACAGAAACAAGACCTTGTTAAAAAGAACAGAAAAGTACTTTGAGAACCAAATTAACCAAAACAATCATTGAAACAGGCTAATTTAATTACAAAACATAAATATGAATTCTCTCCATAAAGTTACTTGACAGAAAGGGTTAAATGCAGAAAGAAATGACTTAAGAAGAGGTTGAAACCCAGGCAGAAGGTCCTATCAGCTGATGGCAACAATGATATTAGCACAGTGGAAATTAAATATGCATCCTCCCACATCTCCAGGCCTGGACTCCAGGTCTTATTGTATTGTGCAAATTAAGTCTTAATTTCTTTAACAATAAATTTACTGGGAAGAGGAAAAGGAGGCTCAGAACTTCAAGCTTTCAGGATTCTGTTCTTTGTCTTATTCTAAAGACAATGATTTAAAAATTCTTCTTGAGCTAATTACCAGTGGGAAACACTTTTATTAATGAACAAAAGAGCAAATTAATTCACTGAATGCATAGTACTTTTTTGTTTTTAGGTTTTAGGAAAAACAAACAGAAACACAATTCAAACATTTTTTAAAATTTTTGTGAATCTGAAAACGTAGAAATATTACAGCATCATCCCCATAATTTAAAGTCTGTTGTTATTCATAGAAAAGAAAGAATACAACATAAAACTTATTGGTATTTGGCTAATAGTAAAGCAAGACTTAAAATAAGCCACACAACTAGCAGGTGTGAGCTGACAAGAAGCAAGGCGACAGGATAGAAGTGTCGAGAAGTTGGCTTGTTGTCTGTTAGACAGCCTGTTTCCGGGTCATCAGATTCGTTCAGTGCTCCCTGGGTGTGTTTGCTGTTAAACAAGGGGATTTTAGGGAGGAGAGAGGAAAGAAAAACAGGAGAGCATTCACACAATAAAGTAATGCAACCTTAAATAGTCCAAAAAACAAATAACCTTATGCAACATAGCTATTTCAGATAAAGATCTTTATGCTAACAAGCCCTAAATGCATCCGATACATTAATTCCTGACTGTACAACATTGACAAAGGGTATTCAGATAGAAGATTCCTTTTGCTTTTTGTGCAAGGGAGAAACACAGTGATGATCTTTGCATTAATTGAGACTGTGTATATATAAGGAAAACAACAACAATAACAAACAGCAGCTATAAAGGAGACCCCACAAATAAAAGTTAAATTTGGGTCAGCCCATAATAAAGCCTCTGAGAAACACATCTTTGGAAAGGAAATGAGAAACACAGAATGGAGTGAAGAGGATGTGTCTGGTGTCTTTAAACACAGATTCCACTGGTCTTTTACCTGTGTGAAGTATTTAAAGTACTATAGATTTGACATAAGGATACAGTATTTAAAATGAATGAAGCATCTGACATGTCATCTTTGCCAACCATAATATTAGTTTTAAAACAAACAAACAAACAAACAAACTTAGCATCCTTTTCTTCCTTTAGCTCCTAAGTTATCTCATGCTCCGCTAACTAACCAAAACCCAATCCTACTGTTGTTGAATAGATTCCAACTCAAAGCAGCCCCTTAGGAGAGCAAAGAACTTCCCTATAGGGTTTCCATGGCTGTTGTCTTTACAAAATCAGGCAGCTACATCATTCTTCTGTGGGGTTGCTGGTGGTCTTCAACTGCCCACTTTTTGGTTGATAGTCAAGTGCTTCACCACTGTATTACTAGGGCTCCTTTCATCTAATTTGACCTATAGGTTAAACTCAACTCTACAGAGGATTTTTGAGAGTGACTGTAAACCTTTACAGGAACAAGTAGCATCATCTTTCTCACAGGTAGTGGAGGGTGAGTTTCCACCACTGACGTTGCAGTAAAAAGTCTGATGCTTAACCCACAGTACTACTAAGGCTCCTTGGCTCTAACTTAGATGGGACCAAATCTATCTCCTATGAATTCTTAATCTGGAAAAAGATCCATAGTTGCTGAACAACAAATTAGTAAATATTTTACATTCTCAGATTGTGTCTTCTCTGTGTAAATAAAAAAGAAGGTAATTCTCATTCTGCTTCAGAGCAGTTCCAATTATGGAAAATTAGA